CCCATTTCAACCAATAAGATTTAAACATTTGACTATTCCCACCACCCATTTCAACTAATAAGGTTTAAGTATTTGACTATTCCCACCACCCATTTCAACCAATAGAAAAATAGTATTTTAATCAAAATAAAATATCCAATAAAAATTAAAATAAAACTTGATGTTGACATTTCTTGGAGGGAACACTATCCCTCAATCTTCTTTTGCTTTTATATTAGAATAGAAGATAAGGTTTAAGTATTTGACTATTCCCACCACCCATTTCAACCAATAGAAAATTAGTATTTTAATCAAAATAAAGTATCCAATAAAAATTAAAATAAAACTTGATGTTGACATTTCTTGGGGAACATTATTCATCAAACTTCTTTTGCTTTTGTATTAGAATAGATGTCTCATAAGAATAAGTTAAGGAAACTTGATACTAGATGCCCACTTACTGCATTGTACATATTTGAAAACTTATCTCATTTGGATCGAATAGTATTTGAAAATAGTATACCAAATATGGCTCAATATGCTTTTCCCCAAATATGATGGCATATGGCAATATGGCATGTATGAATACCATTTTACCTTTTCTTTTTCTGATCTGTGTCTGGTCATATTTTTTGGAAAAGAATCATGCATGGTCATATTTTGAGAATTATCATTAGTTTTAGTCATATTATGTATTTTGCCCATTATGTGACTTAAAAGGTTAGATTTATCATTTGTAATTAGGTTAAAATTTTATTTAATATGGTAATATTCCAATTATTTCAAGCATATGAGATCTTTTGTAATTTTCAATTACAAATAAATTAAAGGTTAGCATACATAATAAAAATCAAGAGTTGTTTATCTGGGTAACGACTATATAGTACCCTATTTCTACCATAATTACGGTGTTAACATTTTAGCGGGAAAGCATTTTATCATACTGTAATATGTTTGGGTAAAAAGAATTTCATTTGGCGTTTCTCTGGTTGTTTCGTTATTTTGTACCCTAGAGTAATGGTTTAAATTTATTCTTACCACGAACTCAGCAAATTGCCGTCTTAGCTCAGCTGGTAGAGCGCGTGGCTTTTAACCACGTGGTCTTGGGTTCGATTCCCACAGACGGCGTATTTCTGTTCAAACCTATTTGGGATTCGGCTTATTTTTTTATTATTCCGTATAATTTTGTCTTGTGCTTTTGTGATTCAAATTTCCAAATAAGGATTTTTATCGATTCAGGACCCGAAAGATAGATGAATTATCAATCCGGGATCTGAAAGATGAAATGTATCGATATAAGACCCGAATGATGGAAACCTATCAATTTAATACTTGAATAATTGGAAATTATCAATTTAGGACCTAAGTTGTCCGAAATTTTATTAATTTTTTTATCTTAAATTTTTAAATATTATTTATTTTTATGAAACTAATAAACTTTTGTGAATAAAATTTTATCAAAAATTAGCAATGGAATTAATAAAAAATTAAATAAATCAAAATCTATGAAATTTTAGGTCCTAGATTGATAGTTTTTCATCATTCGGGTCCTATACCGATAGATCTCATCTTTCAGGTCCCGAATTGATAATTTATCTATCTTTCGGGTCCTGAATTGATAAAATTCCGCAAATAATCATATACGGAGTAGTTTCTTGGAATACTATTGTTCGTTCTTGCTACCACTTGTTTTATTGCTTGTTTTATTGCTTGTTTTATTGCAATAAACTTATACTTGTTCAGTTCTCTTTAAATCTGAATTTGTTTTAAATGTATTTAATTCTCTTTTAATTAAAATCTTTGTGATATTTAGTATGCTAGTTTTGTGTCTTGAAAATGTGATACTGATTCACAAGGATTTTCAGGAATAATTTAGTCCTATTTAGGACAAAAGTCCATATGTTTTTAATGAAACTACCATTCTCTTTAATGCTTTCAGTATTCAGTCGTGTCAATTTTGAAAAGAAATTGATAATTCTTGAAAAAAAGAAAAAACAAGCATTCTTAGTGTACACACTGGGTTACCTTTTTATTTGCCACTCACACAGACAAAAAAGTGCAAATACAGACACTTTCGACAAAATTGTCTATGTGAGAAAAAATTTGTTTGCTAACTGGTGTAACTTTTTGCAGATGTGTCAGGGTGTTGCACGGAAACCAATGTAAGTGTACACAGACATTAGTTGTCTGTGTAGACAAAAAGTGTCTGTACATATAAAATATTTGTCTGTGTACACAGACATTTGTTTCGGTGCAATCTAACCCCGACTTTTTGAATAACTTTTGTCTGTGTACACAGACACTGAAAGAAAACGAGTGTCTTTGTACATACATTTTTTGTCTATGGCAAAGGTTATAGAATGTTACTAGTTTTTAAATTTCATCTTTCATTACAGACAATATTTATCATTATTTAGCACCATACAAACAAAAAATCCGGTTGGTCTAACTTTGTTGTGAGTTTCCAGAAAATTTTCCGGTGAGTTTCCGATGAAAATTGTGATGGAAGATGATGATGAAGATGATGATGAAAGGTGATGGTGAATAAAACGTAAAAAGAAAGAAAAAGAGAAAAGGAAAGAAAAAGAATAAGATAATGAAGAAGGAGAAAGAAAGGAAGAAAAAAATTAGAAAGAGAGAAAGAAGAGGGGGGGGGGGGGGGGGGTCGTATGATGCAAGAGGGGAGGAAGAGAAGATAAAAAAGTGGGAAGGAAGGGAAGTAAAAAATGGGGGGGGGGGGGGGGGGGGGGGGGCTATATAGAGTGCGGTGTAACCGTGTAACCGACGGTGCACCTATAGCAAATTTCAAGAAAAAATAGAAAGGGTAAGTGGGGGTCATCGGGAAAGAAAGCAGGGACTTCACATAACTGTATTCACATGACTGTATAACGATTAGACTAGAACTCGTGAATATTTACAATCCTCTTCTTAATCCTCTTCTTAATAGCACTACAACTCTAAGAAAAAATTCCCGCTCACCTGAACTCACATTTACGGCCGTTGATTTTACGCACCTAATCTACGGATTCTAACATCCATCCTGTTTTTTCTACACCTAAAATTGCTCAACACGCCGAAATCCCTTCACTCATATCACGATCGATGAATTCTTCTCTTGAAATCTGAACAATCTCAAGTAATCGATGATGTTGCTTCTCCTGCCAGGCGTTGACTACCTCTTTTGCCGCTCTCTCGGAGATTCTACATCTAAAATCACCCCAAACGCCTGAAATTTCTTCACTCATATCATCCAGATCGATGAATTGCTCTTCTAAAATCTGAACAACCTCTGCAAATGGATGTTGCTCCTCCCTCCTGCAAGATCTTTGGCTACCTTTAGCGCCGCTCATTCCAATCCTCTATCTCGGAGGTACACATCAACCGGTAATAGTTTGAAACTTCTCAAATCCCATTCATTCATATCATCCCTACATCAACTAATTCTTCTTTAGTACGTAGTATGTTTTATATTTCTAAAACAATACTGTGACAACTCTTCAATATGTTGCAATACTAATTTTCTGCCGTTGTTTTTCAGCGGATTATCTGATTAATCTACTGCTATGTTTCTTTTTGCTGCTACTTTAGCCATATGAGTTTCAATGTTAGTTTGTTTCAGCTTTTTTGGCATTTTGAGATTAATTTCATTCTGGTCGAAAGGAATTTTGTTCAAAAATGAAGTTTAAGATACCCAACGTAAATCTGAAATTCTTTACTTTATCCTTCTATTATTTATTTTTTAAATTATATTTACTAATTGTGTGTTTTCTCAATTGCTACGGCCCTCAAAGGATATGAGCAAAGACTTGAGAAATGGATCATAATCACACTTCATGGATTGAAACACGTTGATAGGGAAGATAGTTTGTTATCTTTCAGCATACCTTATCTGCCAAGTCTTTTGTTCCTATTCTAGAATGATCATTTGTCTAACACTTTTTAGTTAGTTTGTGGACCACTACATTTTTTATATTTCATTTTTCATTTTAGGATATACCTTCTCATAACTTTCACTTATTTTTTGTTCATATAAGTCTCTTGATCAACATTGATTCCACATTTTGTTCCAATCTCCTGATTTTAGCTTCTAACTTTAGTTTTATGACTCTTAAATGATGTCTGCTAAATTAAGGAAGCCAATTTCTTTACCTTGAGAATTCTTAAGCTTCACATTTACTTTGACAAGGTATATATTTACTTCTTCAATATCTTTGATTTGGATCCTAATCACACTTCAAGGACTAAAACACTTTGATAGGGAATATAGTTTCTTAACATTCAACATACCTTATTCAATGTTATTCATTATTCTTCAAAATAGAAGATTGAATTTGTATAGTCTTCTTCATATACATAGTACTTCTTATTAGATACAGAGTTAGATTTGCTTATTATAAGCTTCTAAGCTTCAGTTCTTACTATTCTTTTATCTGTTAAATTTCTTTGTCTTATTTCTTTTGTCTTATTTCTCTTTTAATGGTTGAGGTTCAATGCTTTAATTTGTACTACTGCTGAACTACATGCCCCCATATCTAAGTAAGATTTAGCTTCTAACTTTACTTCTTCGACTAATTCTTTTGGATTATGGGTTCAAGAACTAATCCTTAAGTTTAACTTGAGTTTTTTTTTGTTCTGGGATACCTTGTGAGAGAATGACGGTGAGAGATTGACTCATGAATAAGTTTCAGTTCATCATGTGACATCCAAGTTTGATGGTTATACTTACAGTTAGATCAAACTGCACCTTTTTTCTATAAAAGAGTTTACTTGATTGAGATTGGAAAAAGTACAATTGTTAATCCTCCTCATGCCAAAAATATAGATGTTAATGGAATTGTCTCTTATTTATACAGGATGGTTAAAATCCATATTTGGAACTCACTTTAAGTACTAAGAAAAGGATATGGTCTCTGATCAAGCATATAACTTTACTTTGTTCTTAAACGATGTCTGTTAAGTTACTTTTATGCTTTGTGTTCATTTGCGGATAAATTAAGGAAGTCAATTTCTTTATACTACTGCTGAACTACATGCCCCCTATCCAAGAAAGATTAGTAGTCTTATAGCCCGGAGGAATAGTCATATAGACTTCCTCATTCAAATCTCCAAGAAGAAAGGCATTATGTACATCCATCTGATGTAATTCCCAATGCTTAGCTGCCGCGATAGCAAGGAAAGCACGTACAGTCACCCTTTTTGCCACAGGTGCAAACGTTTCAGTATAGTCCAGGCCAGCAATCTGTCTATTTCAAAAAATAACAAGACGAGCTTTAAGGCGTTCAACTGTGCCATCACATTTGTGCTTCACTTTATAAACCCAGCGACAACCCAAAGCACGCTTGCCAGGAGGCAAAGAAACGAGACTCCAAGTGGAATTATTTTCAAGAGCCTTGATTTCGTCACGCATGACATTGCGCCATCCATCATGTTTGACAACTTCATTAAAAGAATCAGGCTCCTTAATGGAATTTAGAGCTGCCAAGTATGCAATATGTTTTTGGAAAAAACCATCACAAATAATATAATGAGTTATAGGGAACGGCGTACCTGAAGAGGGTGATGAATCGGGAAGAGCGGGGAATGGACTGTTTTTAACAATGGTATGTGTGATGTAGTCTCTGAGGCGAACTGATGGCATACGTACGCGCTGCCCGCGTCCTAAGTCAACTGGTGGATCCTCCTCTGAAGCACCGGGCGTGTCACCTGTAGATGTGCCATCTCCCAGAGATGTATGTTCCTCATGTGAGGACGCAGATACTGCTGCAGGTTGACCATGATATCCAAGTATAGATGAATAATCACTGGGCATGATAACTGGCTGTTCTACTTCCGTTATTGGACTATTATCAGCAATAGAAGAGGCATATGTAAATGGAAAAATATGCTCAAAAAACTTCACATCACGAGACACAAAAAATTCTCGAGTCTCTAGATAAAAAACATTCCACCCTTTCTTGCCAAAAATATATCCCACAAATACACACTTTCTGCTTCTGCTGATAAATTTGTCACCCTTTGACATCATGTTATAGGCATAACATAAACATCTGAAAACACGGAGAGATTCATAGCAAGGAGGAGTCCCAAAAAAAATTCATACGATGTTTTATAAGCATGAAGCGCAGACGGTGTGAGATTAATGAGATAAGAAGCATTCAATACACATTCTCCCCAAAAAGATATATATAGGTAAATTCCCTTGAAATCTCAACGCACGAGCCACATTTAAAATGTGTCTATGCTTTCGCCACAAGATGTCTGAAATAGAATCCCACTAATGCGGAAATAATCTTTTAAACAATTAAACTCAGTCCCATTATCACTTCTGACACGCAAAATTTTCTTAGAAAATTGTCGTTCCACCATAGCAATAAAAGAGAAATATTTTGAAAACTTCCTTTTTATCAAGTAACAAATAAACCCAAACAGCACGGGAATAATCATCTAACAATTGTCAAAAAAAAATTTAGCACCACACGAAGAAGGGGTTTTATATGGACCCCACAAATCACAGTGTATCACCTCAAAAATATCACTAGTTTTATTTAAACTAGTAGGAAAAGAATTCATAGTCTGCTTTGCTCTAAAATAAACATCACATGGAAAATTTCCAAGAGTCTTCAAATCACTTACAGGAACCAGATTTTCAACCACTTTAGAAGCCGGGTGTCCCAACCTTTTATGCCATAATTCTGCCACATCATTCCATGATTCTCTAACTGCCAATGCATGCTTTGCTAGTTCCTCCCGTAAGTAATACAGTCCATTCCGCCGTTCACCCGTTCCAATCAGCCTCCTCGAGAGACGGTCCTGTATAATGCACAAATTACAGGTTAATTGGACAAAACAGTTAAGTGCATCACTCATTTGGGATACATATATGAGATTACACTGCAACTTCGGTACAAAAAGCACATTGTTCAAATATAAATCATTTGTAAATTGCACACTCCCTTCCAGAGTAGCCAAAACGGTCTATCCATCGGGGAGACCAACGGAGCATGGTTCAACATTTTTTCACATGACAAAGTAAAGACCGATTGCCACAAACATGATTTGTAGCTCCAGTATCAATAATCCAAGCATTACTATTGAACTTACCAGCCATGCGATCATTAGTAGAGAAGGTGTTACCCATCATGGAAAGTAAAGATGTCGATTGTTCGGATGTAAATCCTGGCAAAGGAGTGGATTGCCCACTGCTGCTCTCCCCATCATTCATCGGTAGCTTGGTTGCGGTTTCGGCTGCCATCATGGCATGTGCTCTTGTTGTTTGCTTTCCGCGACCTGCCTCCTAATTCCCTGGAGCTCCAGAATTGTTTGGACGTCCACGACCTCCTCCTTCTTTAATGCCGGGTTTAGGTCTATCTCCCCACCAATCAGGATAACCATGAAGTTCAAAGCAGCTTGTGACTTCATGCCCCGAATATCTGCAATAGGAGCACACATGTCCAGATTTATCTGGCTTGACCCCACGGCCTGCTCCTTTCCCGTCTGTACGAAGTGCGAACCCCATAACATCTGGCCGTTCTTCTTGTGCATGCACTATACCACGCACACGTTCTTCCTGTATCATTTGTTGATAAGCACGATTCAAGGTTGGGAGATCAGTTTGCGTCAGCAATTGTGACCGAACTCCACCAAAGAAATCTATGTATATGCCCATCAAAAATTGATGCAGGCGTTCTGATTCTCTTCTCTTCTCATGCTGCTTGAGCACATCACACGTGCAATTTTTGCATTTACACGCAATCAATGGTTCATAGTTGTTTAATTCATCCCATAAATTTTTCAATTTTACGTAATAAGCTCCAATCGTCATTCCCTTTGTCTGGACACACTTTGCCAAATCCGTCTTGACTTGGTGTATCTTAGGGCCATCAACGATTGCAAACCGTTCTTTTAGATCACTCCATAGCTGCTGTGCATTCTCGTAGTGGGATAGGATTCCCTTGACCTCCGGCGTTATTATATTCAATAACCAAGAAATGATCATGGAATGGATCATAAGCCAATCCTCCTCAGAATAAGGTGGTGTCGGTTTTGTGAGAGTGCCGTCAACAAATGCAAATTTCCGCCGTGCTCGGAGTGCCAACCGTACGGTGTTAGACCATTCTTCATAATTGTTGCTCGTAAGACGAACCGGGGTGATAAAATCAGCCGGTCTATCCTGGGGTCCCAAGAAATACGGTGAACTATAATCGATTTTCGTCGCCGGCGTTGCTCCTTCTTCCGTCGTCATCCCTGCGGACTCTCAGTCGAAAGAAGAAAAAAAACTGTCGATCAACGTTCATGCTCTGATGCCATAATAAGTTTAGCTTAATATGTAAACAACGAATACAGGGAAAGCAATTGTTTTTCTCATTCTTCCAAAAGCGGTCTCTCTTTGTGCACCTTCAAATTTACTATGCGCACCATTCTTTTTCTACTATTGGACAAGTTTGCCCTCTTGCCTTACGAATTTACGTAGCTAGCGCCTAGCGCAGTAATTGTAATACGGAGTAGCTTTGTACTCTTTCATCAAAGTTCAATGCTAAGATTTTACTCTGTATTAATTTAAAAAGTAATACACTCATTGGCATTACTGCATTAGATTAGATTTCCTAAAATTTTGTTTACTTTATTCCTAAAAAATAAATACCTTTAAAATATACTCACAATTCAATAGATTACAAATTTCAGTCAAGTACACTGTAATCTGATAACATCAATGTGGCACTTCGAAGGAAGAGGTCACATGTTCGAATCTCATCCACGTTCAATGATGTTAGTCTTAACATAGAACATATATTATAATAGGTTAGAAAGAATTGCCAAAAAAAATAGATTACAAATTTCAACTACCACCAAATATATAAATATTTGTAATACGGTATAATTAATACTCATATGATTTTTTTACAATCTTCTTATATAAATATACTTTTCATTCATCTTTGTATTGGATATTGTCTTTATTCTATTATCAGTCACGATAATACAAAGTAACTATAATTTACACTTTTTAGGATGTTTTTTAATTTGACTCTATATGATCCCCGACCAAAGTAACTATCTAATCAAATATTTAACGTATCTAAAATTTTAACGTAATATGGATGTCATATCGTAGATCATAAAAAGTTATTTAATTTGATATAATTTTTATAAAATTTGAAGAACAATTGAAAGAGTTATAACATTTTATAAAAAAAGAATAATTTACCACATGGCAGCAAATTATTGGATGGAGAAAGAATTTAAAATTGATATAGTATAGTATTCCGTATATTCCTCCGTATATGGCAGGCCGTGTGAATGTGTGATCTTGGAGAACTTAGTACTAACTACTAAGCATCAATTTTAATTAATTTGAATTTATCAACTACTAAGGTCAATAAAGTCATTGTAGGGTTACGTAAAGTAAAAATGGGGGTGTGCAAAGCAACACCCTTCCAAAAGTCATTCGGCCAGTTTAAATACACAGGGCAAGCCGAGCAGTTCGGCAATCATAAGGCTAAAGAAGGATACTATCTTAAAATAATATCCCAATAATATCTCTAATAAATAATATAATATCCCAATAATATTTCAATAATATCTCTAAAAAATATCTATAATAACTTAAATCATTTAAAGGTACTGCTGTTGACTCCAAATTGAATTACTGGCTTCAAACATTTTATTATACATGTTGGCTTATTTTAGTCCTCCCCACTTACGAGGTCATCTTTCATTCTTTCTCATTGATGGAGTATATGGGCCTGGACCCTAGGACCCACATACTCAGGAGAACAGAAGGTACCATGATCACCTGGTGAGACCCTCGTCGGCCAGATGACCTTCATCGGCCAGAACGAAGTCTGCTCAGAATATGATCCAGAAGCTAGGAGAACCGGGTGACCTCGTCGGCCGGGTCTTCGTCGGCCATGCCCTCGTCGACCATAAATAGCCTCCAGAACAGGATTTTATACTTAGTCATTTCTATACACTTTGTATCCGGGCCATTAGTGGCCCGGTTGTAAATGGGCCTCCCAAGCCCAAGACTTGGGAGCCCAGCCCTAATTTTCTCTATAAATACTCCCCTTGGGAGTAGTTGTATGGGTTCACAAATCATTAATACAAAGCAATTATAGAACTTCTCTCTCTAGCTCTCACTTCTCTCTAGATATATAATCTATCATTTGGTGCTCTCATTGAGAGCTAGAACAATCAAGTTAGCCTCCTTCGTCGCTATCAAGCACAGCTAACTAACAATGGGAAGAACTAAGTCTAACCGCAACCTCCTCGGCAAGGCCATCCCTGAGGCACAAGAGAACCAGGAACACGAGGAAGATGCTACGGCCGACCAGGCTGCTGGGGGAGATGTCTTCCAGGAAGCCATCGACCTCACGGCTGACCTGCGCAACAAGCTCAACGGCGGCGCCCCAGACGCCCGCATCGGCTTGGACAAGAAGCGCGCAGAAAAAGGCGACAATGCCTCGGTGCAACCAGCCTCTCCTGCTGTTGACCCTCAGCTTCAGGCCGTACTCTCAGCCATCATCGCCAGTTTGGCCCAGAACCCCACCGTCCTCAGCGCACTCATGCCAAGGACGGGGGAGAACACGCCGCCGCCTCCTCAACCCCAGCCATTGGCTGTTAGGCTAGGCAACGATGAGGGGGTGGTGCCCCAGGACACGATGTCGTCCCACTCCCACCCTGCTTCCCCGCTTCGAGCTAGACCGACCCCAGCGCGTGGAAAAGCCTCAGCCCTTAACAGGCTAGGTGACACGTGCCGTCGGCCGGCTTCGGAGAGGATGGCGGAACGGATTGGTCACCGTGAGCCTGGCTCACCTAAGGAAAGCTTGGGGTCAGTATCCCGGACAGCGGATCGGCCCCACCCGGACAAAGGCAAGGGGAATCTGCATGAGGGTGATGCTCGTCACCAAATAAACACGGCTCACGCAGCCCGCTTGCAGACGCAGGGTGCCACTACGGCCGCCAGGGACCCCAGGGACGAGGTAATCGCCCAACTCGAGCGAAGGCTCGCCCAGATGGAGGCGAAACAGCTGGCCGCAACCCCCGCGGGCAATTCATCCAGAGATCCCGGCTTCAACGCCCTTCTAAACAAGGTCACCATCCTTGAGAGGGAGTTGGCCGAAGGACGAGGAGATCCCATCATTCAGGTCAGGACAAGGACTCCCTTCACCGCCAGGGTACTCTCGGCCCCTATCCCCGAGAAGTACCGAGGAAACTCCATAAAGCCCTAAGACGGCCGCTCCGACCCCCAGGAGCACTTCAGCCATTACCAGAATAATATGCTTATGGTGAACGCGTCAGATGAATACCTCTGCCGTTGGTTCCTTTCTACTCTTGAAGGGCCAGCGTACGAGTGGTTCAACGCGCTCCCCGAAGGGAGCATAGACTCGTGGCAAGACCTTGCCCAACGCCTCCTCACTCACTTTGCCGGAAGGAAGCGCGCAAAGAAGTATTTCACCCATCTTCTCTCCATCAAGCAGCAGCATGATGAATCACTCCGGTCATTCATCGACCGGTGGACGAGGGAGAATGATGAAGTCGAGGGGGCCGATGAGCGCACCCTCCTGGTCCTATTTCAGGGCGCCCTCTGCAGCACCCCATATGGGAGGAGCCTCATCACTGACCCACCGAGGTCCTATTTGAAGGCGCTTCAGCAAGGAAACTTTTACGCTGACACCGACGAGCTCCACAACCACAAGAAAGACGGAGGACACCCCTCCAAAAAGACAAACGCCGCACCAACTACAGGCGCACCCTCGGCCGGGGACCGAGGACAGGGAGGACAAGGCCGCCATGGATCTAGCGGAAAGAACAACGACCGCATATGGCGTCCGAGGATGGAAAGGCCGAAGACCCCACTAACTCATTCGGTCAGCTCCATCCTCGATTACGCCGAGGAGCACAACCTCATTGAGCGAGATCCTCGGTCAGCAAAGGAGATCTACGCCGTCCATCTGGGCGGCACCTACTTCGTTACCACCGGAACACCTCCCACAACACAGATGACTGCGTCACGCTGAAGCGAGCCATCAAAAAACTGATGCGCCAGGGGGAACTCTCCCAGTTTGTTAAAGGTGGCCCGCTTAAAAATACGTGGGTAAACACCGACAAACCTGGGGGCGAACCCTCTACGAAGAAGTGAGAGATCGACAGGCTCAGTGACGACAAGGAGGACTTTGAAGAACCCCATCCGAAGAGGAACCACATCAACCTCATCGTGGGGGGTAATACGGGGGGGGGGGGGGGGGGGGACTCGGCTACCCAGAGGAAGAAATGGGCCCAATCCCTTTACATTGGGGAGGTGTCCCACGCTCCCCCCAGCCAAAGAAGCAGCGGACGGAGGCGATCACCTTCATCAACAAGGATCTGCCTCCAGGACCCGCATCGCACAGGAACGCCCTCGTCATCCGGTGTCAGATAGGTGACTCTATCATCCACCGCACTTACATCGATACGGGGAGCTCCGTCAATGTCATGTACCTTGACACCTTCAGGCAGCTAAAGCTGGACAAAGCGCTACTCAAGCCAATACGGACACCGTTGTCCGGCTTCACCGAGGACTCTATCGACGCTGAAGGCACGATAGTCCTCCCCGTGGAGGTCGGTGACGGCTCCCATCGCACCAAGATTGACATGGAGTTCATGGTGGTCAACCTCGAGTGTGCCCACAACTTGATATGGGGGCGGCCAACACTAGAGGATCTCGAGGCCATCATCTCCATGAAACATCTGTGCCTGAAGTCCCCCCCAGCGGCGGTATCGGCTACGCCCGGGGTAACCAGAAGATAGCCCGAGCATGCTACCTAAAGCTTACAAAGCCAGCAGCTAGCGTCGGGTAGAGAATAGACACCATCACCGCCACCGTCACCAAGAAAGAGGTGAGGCCGCACGCCGAGCCAGCCGAAGAGGTCGAGGAGGTCCCCCTGGACAGCTCTCGACCGGAGCGGGTCCTGAAAATCGGGAAACAACTCCCACAGGATCAGCGTGATGGCATCCTCAACGTCCTGTGGTCATATGCAATCATTTTCGCGTGGGGGCCGGACGGTATGCTTGGTATCAGCCGAAAAGTGATCACTCACCGGCTGTCAGTCAACCCCGCCTCCACGTCGGTCAAGCAGAAGCGGCGCTACCTCTCGGCTGACAGACGGGACTTCGTCAAGGGGGAGGTTACCATGCTCCTCTCAATCATTCACATTAAAGAGGTGAAGTACCCAACATGGTTGGCCAACGTCGGCCTCGCCCAGAAGCCGCCGACGTTCAGAATGTGCGTTGATTACACTAACCTGAACAAGGCGTGCCCTATGGACCCGTTCCCTCTCCCCAACATTTATCAATTGGTGG